GAAGTACTTTAAATTCCACAGGGAGCCAGTACCAAGATGTTAATACAGGAGCAATATGATCCCTTTTCTTAGTTCTTGTTAATACACGTGCTGCAGCATTCTGAATCAACTGGAGAGGCTTAAGTGATTTACAAGAGCAGTCTGATTACAACGAATTACAGTAGTCCAGTCTAGAAGTAACAAACGCATGAACTAGTTTTTCTGCATCACTTTGAGACAGGAAGTTCCTGATTTTCGATATGTTACGTAGATGAAAACAGGCAGTCGCTAAAGTCTTCTTGATATGAGAGTTGAAGGACGTATCCTGGGTGAAGAGAACTACAAGATTCTTGACGGTGCTGCTGGATACCAGAGCAATTCCATCAATAGAAACTGTATCGCGTGACAGCTGACTTCAATGTTATCATGATAAGACATTATTGAAGTCGAACATGCTGGTCGGTCTCTTCTGCTTTGATCGACAGTTACAGTTGAGTGTCGTCTGCATAACAATGGAGGTTTATGCTGTGTTTTCTGATAGCGTTTCCCAAAGGAAGCATATATTATACAGGGTAAATATAATTGGTCCAAGCACAGAGCCTTGTGGGACTCCGTGACCAAAATTGGTGGTCTTCGAGGATTCAACGTTCACAAGCACAAACTGTGATGGATCCAATAAATAGGATTTAAACCAGCTGAGAGCAGTTCCTTTAATACCAATCAAATGTTCTAGTCTCTGAAGCAGGATACAATGATCTATGGTGTCAAATGCGGCACTGAGGTCCAGCAACAAAGCATTGTTTTGTAGAAAGTCACATAATTGATTTGCGATGGATTTCTGGAGAATCTTTGAGAGGAGATAGGTCTGTAGTTAGCCAACACCTCTGGAGCAAGAGTAGGTTTCTATTCTTAAGAAGAGGTTTAATTACAGATACCTGGAAGGACTGTGGTACATGTCCCATCAACAAAAAGAAAGATTGCTAATATCCAGTAGACGTGCAAACTAAATGAAAAACTTCCATAAGCAGCTTAGTCAGAATCGGATCCAAGAGCCAAGTAGAAGATCCAGACTTATATTGTCGAGGTCAGTTGATAAAGGTTGATGGAAGAGAAGCCATCCAAGCAGGTATCAGGGCCTAATGCTGCATCCAAGGTTCCTACATCCGAGGACCAATTTATAGTGATACTCGTTGCCTGAAGAGTTGGAAGAAGATATGTCCCCTGGCAATTACTCCATTACTCCAGATTTATGCTGATCTTACAATAAATACAATTTCATGGATGCAAGCCAAGGCAACATACATTGCAACGTCCCTTCTCACTAAGACCAATAATTAAAGAATACAAATTTTAGTGACTCAATGATATTACTCACAGATATTATTTTCTAAAACATTGTTTCCATGTAAAAACCTGTGGCAAAACATTAGTAGAGTATGTGAGCACATCACTCGCGTTAGCGCTCCTATGCTACGCTAGCTACTAAAGGTATCCTGGCTGTGTACGCATGCTGCTTGGACTTCTTAACGCATGTGTCATTTAAGTCCCGACACTGGACTATGACATATACCAGCTGTCCGTTTGGTGTCCTCTTAGCCATGAGCGGACAAGGTCCTCCGATGCGTTTCATGTCCTTGTCCTATTTGTTGATACAAATACTGCCATAAATTTAAATGTTGATTGACAAGCTTTGTTCTGTCTAAAAGGACATTTTCAACCAAGCCATTGGACTTCAATAACAAAGACTTTTTTTTTAGACTTTTGGCATCTGAACCATTTCCTCCTTTTTTTGTTGGGGGATGTTAACGATAAGTGAGTGGTTTGTCTACTAGAGACAATAACAGCAACCATGGATTCAGATAATTAGAGCCCTTAATGCTTTTTTTAGTTAACACTTTTCTAATGAACAGCTGTTCTGCATGTTCGTTGCGTGTGCACTCCTCAGTCTCTCTGTATGGAGTCACATGGGCTGCAAAGAGGGAATGTGACGCGTGGGTCACTGAATCTGTCTGACTGACATCTCGTAAGCTGCTTGCATTATTCTGCTTGTTTATCATGGGTTTTTTTTTTATTGTCTTTTGTAATTAACAACATCTTAATGATCACAAGCAGGTAGACGGGCCTGTGAGCGTGTCTGCATCGTCTCTGGCTGGTTGTTCTTTTTTCATCTTTTTTTACTGTTTTCATCTTCTGTGTGGTTTCTTCCTGCTCACACATTTCTAATGAACAGCTGCTCGGATGTGAGTGTTAGCCAGCATACACACGCACACGTCTACACACACACACACACACACACACACACACACACAAACAGACTTTAAACTACACTAAAGGCTCTCTGGTCTCCATCCAACACCTCACTGTGTTGTTTTACATTTGATATATTTTTGGGGAATTCTCCGGCCCTTCCTATAATAAATCAATTCTCACACTGAAGTCGTTTTCAGGTTGATCAATATCTGACACGTCAACGTGCGACGTGGTCTCCAAAACCTGTTCGTAAAAATGTACACGAAAATCTTGAACATAGAAATTGGTAACAATACATAGGAACTGGCGGTGGTTAACCACGCCCCCTTGAGTGAACAACATGGCGGACCATGTCGGATTCTTGAGTCATGGTTGGATTTTTTGAGAGGGTTAGGGTTAGTATTCTACTCTTACAATTTAACATTGATTTCCCGTTAAAAACGCAATCATAACAGGTTTATTTTACATGGTTAGACTTCACAAAGTGTGTTTACGGGGCGCAGGTCCCCGTTCACTTTGAACAGGGCGACGTCATCAGTTGCAGTCCGTACTTATTTCGTGTGTATCACTACGAATTTGTATGTTCAAGATTTTCGGATACATTTTTACGAACAGGTTTTGGCGAGTTGGCAACACTGGAGCGAGATGTTTTGGTTGGATACATTTTAGTTTAATGACCCTGGATTAAATACAATGGTTGCTGGGAGTTGATGTTGAGCTCCCACTTGAGGTCCTGGTTAATGATGGAGCCCAGGAAAGGGAAGGAATCCACACGGTGACGGTGGAGTCACACGGGTTGCTGGTGAGGTTGCGTTCCTCCTAAAATCCACCAGAAATCAGTCCAATGAGGGTGGTGTCATCCGCAAACTTCAGGGGCTTGACGGACTGGTGACTGGAGGTGGAGCTGCTGGTGTGCAGTGGAGAAGAGCAGAGGGGAAAGAACGCAGCCTTGGGGGGGGAAACCGGTGCTGACTGTTCATTCTGTACACATGGCATCCATTGTAGTCGGTCCATCCCTCCTCTGACGTTCTCCCCAAGGTTTCTTTTAGTTCCTTTTTTGCCCCATGGAAGTTTTTCCTGTGCCGATGTGTGGGTTCCAGGACAGAGGATGTCGTATGTGTACAGACTGTAAAACCCTCTGAGGCAAATTTTCCCATCTGTCAGACAGGAAGCAGACAGTGAAGTTTGTCCTGCAGCAGAGACGGAATGATGGTGTCCATGTGGGTTCGTGGGGAGTCCAGATGCTGGAGGATGAAGTGAAGGTCCATTGGCAGCATCGTCGACCTGTCAGCACAATGCTTCAAGGTGTTTTTTGAACATGTCACTTACACAGATAGGTAACAACCGGGAAAATACTCACAACTACAGAGACTTCAATATATAAAAGACACAAAATGGCCACAAAGAGACACAATGCCACCACACAACGCAATAACAACGATACACATGACCATGAAAGAGACAGAGCAGCCGCAAAGGGCCTCACAATGTCTACAAGGAGACAAAAAATGACCACAAAGTGACGACAAAAAGACCAATTATTAGAAAGTGACGCGGACAAGGAGGACACAGTATTAGAAACGGCAGATCTACTGCAGGACTGCATGACACTGAGCCGTAGACACTTAATGAAGTGGTAACAGCCCCCCCCGCGGCCGCCGTTTTGATGCTGAATATTTTTACACTTGATCCTTAATGTGCACAAAATAAAGATATACAGTAATTATCTGTACAACAATGTCAGTCACTCAGAGTCTCTGTCCCCCCCCCCTCTTCTGCGGTTGCATTAAAGAGTGATAAATGAGTGAGAGACGGAACTACCGATCATAAAGGTGTCATTGTGTCACCTCATCCCCTCTGTTCCCATTTCAATTAACAGTTTGCTTGTGGTTCGTATTTTTGGGATGTATCTCCCTGAATTTAGTCTCCTGCTGCTCTTTTCTGGCTGATGTGACCCCGAACTGGCGGTGGAATGCCAGATCGTACGTTATTCATCTTTTCCCTCTATGTTCCAGTCTGTACACGGTGGCCTGGGGAGTTAATGGTCTTGAGATCAACGTGGGCATTATCTGGCCCAAGCCTAAAATGAGTTTGACATCCCCGGTCGAGGTTGTGGAACCATCAGTCTAGTTTTGAGATCAGTTACTGTTGCAATTTAGGAGAAGGTTTAAGTTTAGCGAATCCAACTCCAACTTTCACTAAGTTACATAGTTACGATGCGACGGGAGCCAGCAGTGCGAAACTCCAATTTCTCCGAAGATGGGCTACAAAGAAGAATATTAGCTGCTGAGTCATGCAAACAAAAAACGAAAAGGTTCAAAGTATTATTTCATTAAACAGGTTGCAACATAAATGAGTTTATGGTCCGTCATGATCAGCTCTTGTCATGGCGGCCACTTACACTGCTTCATTTCACTCTGTTAGGAACCTTCCTAAGCAAGTTTGACTATTCCGCTACTTGAATAAAGTACTTCTTTTTTTTTCCAATCAACATGGAGATAGAAATTGTCAGTAATAGATAAAAAAAAAAATGTATAGAGCATATATAAATCCACATATTGTACATAAAACTCAATTTCCTCCTCAGATTATACATAATAACCTGTTAGTACACATTTAAAATGATAGATTGTTGCTATTGTAACTTTATATGTCCATGATAATGAGTGGGAATATACACTAAGGTGTAAAAGCAAGGCTTTTGTTCGTTAAGAGAAAAAGAAAGCACCGGAAACTGTCATTTCTCTGCAGCGGAACTCGGGCAGCCTGCGCACTTTGTGTCCGGGGGACACAAAACGCGGTGGGACACGAACGCGTCGTCTCTCGGGGGGGGACAGCGGCTCCTCTGAGGTACGTGCACCGCTCCAAACACGGAACGCCGAAAGACGAGATGCTTTACATTTCGAAAGCACACTTCCGGTCGCGTTGGAAACGCGTTGAGCTCGCGCACCACGTGTTCCGCCCCGCGCGGTTCATTTGTGCCAAACGGCGACGCCACTCCGGTCGGACCGGGTCGACGTCCGAGCATCTGGACGCTGCCTCCCGGTAGACGACGTGAGAGAAAGCGGACGCGGTTTTTAGCCGACTGCTCGCCGACGTCACGCCGCACGCGCCACGCCGCAGATGTTCCCGACATCCGGTGTGATCCAGCTGCTGCGCCGCGGGGGTCCACGTTAAGGCTGCACGTGTTAGTTAAAACGTAACGTTACGTTAAATATTATCATTTATAAACGCGTCCAACAAAACAATCCGGTCCAAAAACAACCGGCAACGTCCATTAAATGCCTGGTGTTTAAATGTATTTAATGAAAGATACGTAATGTTGTTTTTTTTTTTTTAAATGAATAAAATATAATTTATTTGTGAGAAGGAATCAGGAAACATTTATTACCAAAATATGTCAAACATACAAGGAATTTGTCTTGGTGCGCATCCACAATAGACAACAAGACAGCAGTGCACAAGTAATAAAATAAAGTAAAATGAAATGCTAATGCAATGGGTTAGTGGAATAAGGCTATGGGTTAGTATAAAACAAGGGAATAAAGTTAAAAATTTAAAATATTAAAAGAGTTAAAAAAAATATTAAGCATAAAGTGCACTAACGAACAAGTAACAAAGTGACGAGTGACGACAAAGTGATAAATGCTGAAACCAACTCGACTTTAGGTTTACTTAAAATGATAAATGCTCATCAAAGTGCTTGCTGGTAGTTTTAGTTTCTGTTTACCAATCAAGACAATCTGATTCGACAGTTGTGTTGTGTCATGTAACCCAACCGCACAGTTCACGTTCACGACACGTTTCATTTTACATGTGCGTCAGCTGACTTCAGGGCAGGGGAACGCTTCTCATGAGTGCGCGGCGGCTCGCACCGGCCGAGCGCCGGAGTCGGTCGGATGAGCTGTCTTGAGTCTGACGCCGGCGTTGTGTTGTTGGAGCAGGGAGATGGGCGACGCGGCGGAGCAGGACCTGTACGCTGTCCTCGGTGCCGGCCCCTCGGACTCAGCCCAGCAACTCAGGCACCGGTACCAGCGTCTGGCCTTACAGGTAGACTCACAGCTCGCTACATCGTAAAGCACAGTTGAAGAGCCTCCTTTTGAATGTGTGTGCTTGTGGACCTCGCAGTACCACCCAGACCGCCATGCAGGAAGCAGTTCTGCAGAGGCCGAGTCCGGGATGAAGAGGTTCCTAGAGGTCGATGCCGCCTGGAGGGTCCTCGGTGACCAGACAACCAGGAGACAGTATGACCTGCAGAGGAGAGGTAGGATCCCGTTTAGTTTTCACAGCTTTAGTTGATATTACGGGTGACCGATGGGAGTGTTGATCTTCGACTCGCCTTGAGCCACTTCTGCCCCTTTTCAACTAAATGAATCTAAACATCACGAATTTGTAATCCGTTAACATTCGTCTATTCCCGGTTTTTAACGCTCCCATCGTTTTGCTGTTTTTGGCTTTTCTGTCATTACTCTTTTACTCTTTTAGAAAAATAGATTTTCCCAATTGCACCATTTTAATGCACGGTAACAGAAAAGCTTGAACCAAGCCATGAAGCAATTAAGTCTGAGAATTGATATCCGTCCATGAACAAAGATGTTCAGGGTTTATTACTCTGGTGGCACCCTGGTTTTTAATCGCTCTGGTGTTCTTGTAAGGAGGGAACCAGTTTTTGTAGAATCCCAATCAGGTCCTCAATACCTTGAAAAGAGCTCTTTCACCGTGTGGAGATTGTGAACATTTAGATACACATCCAGTGAAGGGTACAGACGGCCAGGGCTGCAAATTAATGACTGCTAACAATATGCTTTTTTAATTATTCCTCGTGCCGTGTAACACTAATTAAAACCCAAGAAAAGTTTAGCACTAATTATTAGGGGTTCATTAAGTCATTATCACTGTCAAACTGAACCACTTGATAATGAGTGTTTCCTCGTTACTGAACTGAAACAAAAGAGTGTTTGAAATCCGTCTGTAACCCTGACTATCAATTTAATAGTGAATACCGCTCCATCCGTTTATTTGTCCTGCTGTCACTTTTCATTCATCCATACATTGATGGTTCTGGCCTCTTTTAAAATTTTTTTTTAAAACAGACTTCGTAGCATCTATGGCCTTTCATCCTACGAGCATCTCAAGTCTTAACATGGTCGTAAAGTCCATTATTTAACAACATTCTAAAGCTTTAGAGTAGGGCTGCAACAACGAATCGATGAAATCGATTACAATCAATTATTGGCAACGAATTGCGGAGATGCGCGCGGAGCAAAAATAAAAACAAAGGCGGCGAGCCGCCGTAGAGGAAAGAGCAGCCGGCAGTTGTTGTGAGTCACGTGACGCAGGGAGAGACGTCCGTTCGACTAGTCGTCTAAGGTGTGCGAGCGTGGGGGGTCCCGGTCCACGTTGTCCCGTTTTGACGTAACAAGCCTCCCGTTTACTCGTCATCCAGCTGATCAAGCTACCGTTAGCTCGCTAATAACAGCAGTAAAGCGGTTAGCAAGACTAAGACACGTTTTTATTTACTCGCCTCTTTTGGACCATTCGTTTTTCAATGTGTTGTCTGATATTTTGTGCTTTGTCCCATATCGGTTATTGTTGACAAATATATTTGTGTGTGTGTTGTACTTTTTAATGCTGTCATATACGGTAGTCCAGTGCGCTTGCGCATATACTGTGGGTTATACGGTAGTTGATGTTATGCCTGTAAAGGGAGACACATGGTGATCCATTAAATCAACTAAGAAGCCTCTAATGCATTTATTTACAAATGCCATTTTAAATTAATCTCCTAGCACTTGGTTGTTTTTTAGCTGTATGCATTTCCTTAACTTGCACTACAATGATGGTAATAATTTAATGAATATGCTTCATTTGAACATGTGTTTGTGAAGGTAGTATAGAGAACTAGTTCTGACGAATTTGAGGTTCTGATTTAGAATAAAGGGTTGGAAATGAAAGCTTTTTAATGCCGTTTAAAAAAAAATCCGATTCATCGATTAATCGAAGAAATAATCGACCGATTAATCGCTTATCAAAATAATCGTTAGTTGCAGCCCTACTTTAGAGGCGTTTCCCAAACGCATTGTCAGATTAACGAGCGTCTTCTGTCACTGAGGCCGGCTGAAGGCATTTTGAGAAGCTCTAAACCCAAAGACGCAGACAAAGTAATGACTCCAGCTATTGTAGCCCCCCCCCCCCCCCCCTTGTCCTCCATCTACATCCACTATGATGATAACGGCGCCCTACTGCTTCTCCAGCACAGGAGCTGAAACAGGATTGGCCAGTGGACTCTGTCGTCCATCTGCAGGACATGATCTGGGAACAGAGTAACTACACACCATCGACACTAAAACACACAACACTCCACAAAGGTCATCACAGGGTTAACGGTTCGGGCATGTCGATACTTTATGAACATTTAAATCGTTTTTTTAGTAACAATGTGGTGCCAGAGTTTAAATTTAAAAGTAATTGGTAATCAATGTGTTTTTGCATCATCGGATTAATTAAATAGTGGACAGTAAAAGGTACTTTTACTAATGGGTAATCCCGCATTATATACAGCATCCCAATGATGGTTAATCGGTTTAACTAGCAGGATTTGATGCAGTAGGTATTAAGGGTCAGCTTCATTTATTTTAGTTTTATTGTACTCAAATGTTTTTATTCTACTGATTTCCAAAGGGTCTATTTCTCTAAAGTTACTGTATTTAAGTGAATAAAAACATTTAAAAAATATGTTTTAGTGTCATTTAAGTCCTACTTTACGGGACCTGAGAGACAGACGTTAAAACCAGCAATAACAACAATATTATGTAAAAAAAATACTAAATACTAGAAAACATTGTCTGCATGAAATCTAGACCTGACAAGTGTAAAGAGAGCTAAATGTCCTGCTGTTAATGTCTGTAAAATGGTAGCGCGTTGTTTCAGACGAGCGCGTGTACACTCACGGCTGTCGCTGTGGGGGAGGATTCCACGTCTCGGAGGAGGAGGTTCAGGAGGTGACGCGCAGCAGGCGGCAGGACGGCGATGAAGAGGAGGAGGCGGAAACTGGGGAGCGAGAGCACGGAGGAGGAGGAGGAGGAGTGGTGGTGTGCTGCGACACGTGTTCCCTCGCTGTGTGCGTCACGCGGTAGTACACGTTGGACATGTACGATAAGAACTGTTGAACTTTGACCTCGGGCCACGGCCCCGAGCCCGATGAAGAAATAACGACCTCACCTCCACCTGCCAATTAAAAGGCTCCGTGTCCGACTCACCGCCGCCACGTTGTGTTTGCACGGGCCGGTTTGTGGCTGTCATCCATGTAATCTGATTCCTTAGCGCTTCTCCGGTAGTTCCACCTCTATGTGTCCTGCTCCTAAATTGCTCCGGCGAGCTGTGCCTGTGTGCATGAATGTGCATGTAGGAATTAGTCAGATCGCTGATTGGCAGGTGGCCCCCTGCCTTCGTTGGATGGATGATGATAGTGTGTTGATGTGCTTCGAGGGGTTAGAGGACTAGAAAAGAGCCTTCAGTGTACAATCCATTCACCGTTTGGGGTCAAGTGTCTTGAACGAGTGGAGCCGCGGATCGAAGCGTCGTATCCACACTCATGTGAACTAGACGGCAGCAGCAGGAGAGCAAGTCCACTTTAGCCGTTTCGGTTGCGTTGAATTACAATTGAATTCAATGCACTGTAAAAATGACTATAAGGGGAAGGTTTGTCATAACATTAAAAGGATTTATTAAAGTTAACTCTTTTGAAAAGTTGTTATCGGAAGAAACTTAAATAAATCATTTTTAAAAGGGATGTCACGACAATATAGAAAAGATGGAAGTGGAATTTACGTCATGTTTATCTTGTTTGTACTTCTTTAACACACAAATTGGTGCTTAGTAATGGAAAAGTTCAGGTATCAGAATTACTATTGCAAAGGAGAAGAAATGGAACACGCGTTTGATTCATTGTTCTCGAATTAAGTGCGCTTTTACTTTGAAATGACAAAGAATTCATTTATGTAGTGATGCATTCAGTCATATTGACATATTTTTCTTGCAGAATACCAAAGTGAATTTTAAATGGTCTTTGGTTTGAAGTGTATTGTCTTATTATTTATGTATAGATTTGTGTGTATGTAAAGAGGTAAACAGTTCTTCTTGCAGGTCTGACCTAATGGACTCTCAACAAAAAAAAATAAAAAATAAATGCAGACTCGTACCAGGCAATCCAACTCATTTATTTTTAGCCATCTATACAGTCCGTCAGGGAACGTTCGGTACAGTGCAGTCATTGCTGTTGTAAAAGGTGTTTGCCCATCTAGTTCAGGCCCCCCTGTTGTCGTGTGAACACATCTACATGTACACGTGGGGTATGTCTAGTTAGTCAAACTAGATTCATAGTATGTGTGTATGATCATAATTTAATCTATTTCCTGCCACAGATTTTTATATTTTTGAACCGTCGTCACCAGTCCCCGGCTCTCAGCAGTGATAGTACATGTGCAATAGTGTGGAAGGAGAACCACTAAGGGGGTTGTGCTGATGTTGACCAATGTGATGGACCATTCCCTGGAAGGTCTTGTTGTGTCCAAAAATGAAGAAACGCCGGACGGACGAAGGTCATCGCAGATCAAAAGGTTAAAATCAAATGCATTTAATAAAGGAGATGGCGTTGTGGTAAAAAGAACATCTCAGCTGAGGAGCCGCTGGTCTCAGCGACCAACAGGCCCCAGGTCAGTCCTTTGACCATCCCTAGTGCCCGTCTGTTGCCTCCACCAGCGAACTCCAGAACAATGGTTCCTACAGGTATTTATACCAATGCTTAAAGGTGTGAAAGTCAGTGTCCACACCTCTGGGTTCGATGTAACTCTGATTTCGAATGGCCCTTAGTCAATATCAGTTGTTGTCCAAGTATTACATGCATGCATTCCAGTCGATTACATCAAATACAATCATAACTGCATTGGTATTATTCTATTACAGTTGCAGAATTACACTGGTTTTACAATTTTGCCATTTCTTTATTGATTACACCGTTTCAGAATCATGGCTGTATTCTGGTGTACACTATATGCATTTAATTAATTTTATGAACCGGGTCGTCAGTATATCCTGCAGTCTCCCTGTGTGGTTTCACAAGTACGGGGCTAGGGGCCAGTATGTAGGGTTTAGTTAAACGCGGTGGTATTGTGCCGCATCTCACCTCCGCTCACTCCTCCTTTTCCAAGACCGGATGATCGGCTGTGTGCAAATCCCTACCCGTCCTGCCTGTGGACTTCTCTCCTGGCTTGGTCCTCCTCTCTCTTTTCAGGTACAATCCCGGCGATCACCTGGGCCTCTAGAAGAAAAGGAGGAAGACCCAGTCGAACGGAACGGAGGCAGATCTGTAACAAGTAGTTGTTGTGCAGGTCTGTGGTGGGAGGTTGAGGACCGGGTGAATCTGGGGTACCGTATACATCGCTACTCTCACGTAGTCGAACACTCGGTTGTTGGTTGATGCCTCCGCTGTGTGCAGAGCATTGGCTAGACTTAACTCCAGAGGTTGTACCCAAATGCAAGATCCCTTAAATATCACATGGATATACGGGCTCACTTGGCGAGTTTTTGATCAGGATAAAGCCCACAAAAAGTCATAGTTTTACATTGTGAAGTTCTTATAAATTCTCATAATTTCTCTTGTTGGGACACCAAAAAGAGAAATCAGCAGCACGGCACCAAAAAGACACACATCAGCAGCACGGCACCAAAAAGACACACATCAGCAGCACGGCATCCATTTTTAATCCAGTTCCCGAACCGACAAAAACTACACTGAACAATCAGTACCATTAAAATAGACCCTTATCATTGAAATGACAACAGGTCCTGGTGTCAAACACTGAAATGATCTATGTATGACCAGGGACAAAGAGTTGAGCATTTAGTTTGTTCTGTTTCTTTCATTTCATTCATTTCCTTCTGTTAGAAGGTATGCCCTAGATATGCCCCCAACAAACTGCACGTTAAGCAAGTTATCTCCATTTGCTGTATAATTGCCGTTTGAACTCTGGAAAAGATGTGCGGCTGCCTCACAGTCTTGGAAGCTTTGCCGCCTCCTTTATAAGAAGTACAGAGGTTACGTGAAAAAAAAATGAATAAACACGGTAAAATGTGATCATCAACTTGGTTGGGGGGCAAATTATTTGTATAGGAAAGCTATATTCTACCACCCTGAACAATTATCCCATGATCTCCGAGGGGTCCCGATCCCCAGGTTGGAAACAGGTGCCCTAAATGACAGAGCCATTGTTCTCTCGGCGGGGCGTCGACAGACGGACAAAGGGGGGAAAAGGCTGGTAATGACTCTGCTCTCTCTCTGGTCACTCAGCCTGCAAAGGTCACAGCCGACAGGAGCGCAGTGATGATCATCTCCCATCCATTATACCCTCTAATCCATCCATCCATCATCTGTATCTGTCGCAAGAAAGTTAGGACTTGACAGAGAAGGAGGGGAGTGTACCGTCTGAATCCTGCACTAATTATTCCCCCCGACATCTTCGTCTGAATCAGCCAAAGTGGTCAACAGTGAAGGAGAGTTTCTTCACTGGAGGGAGGAGTGGGGGGGGGGTTGGGGGTCCGTCTCGGCGTGCTGGAGGTGGGGGTAGGCAGCTTTAAGTGAGGGGTTGGTTGAATATTGATGTGACAGACACATCGACGTGCAGCGACGTGCTGAGACACAAAATCCCTCTCGCAAACACACACACCTGCAATTAGAGCTTTATATCACTCTCCACCAAAGCACACCCCCCCCCCGAATCCCACCGCCACCCTTTCTAAACTCCTCTTCCGTCCGCAATGCTTTGTAATTAGGTAAAGCGTAAGTCCCGTTTGAAACCTGAGCGGCACTAGATTACATGTTTCTTCACTGGAAGGTGAGAGCAGTTCGTCACGTCGTCTCCAAAAGAAGCCTGGAGCCCTTCTCCACCGGAAGGTCATTGGAGATGGCCCCGCTGTCATATTTTCTCCACTGGAGGTGCAGTTAGGGAGCGTTTCGCCGTGCTTTTCAGTGAGGGCAAGGCAGGGAACGTTTTCTCCACTTGAAGGTTAGGGGTGGAAGGCGCTTTGTCACATTTCTTTCCAGTGGAAGGTTAACCTCCAGGGCTCATCAGCACGCTTTCTCTTCAGGGAGGCCATTCTTAAGAACACATGGTCCTATTTTTCTCCTCAAGCTCATCCTGGGCGGCTCGTAGTCACATTTTATCAATTGGAAGGACCTTCCACAGGGCCCTTTATCTCATCTTCTCCAATTTAAGAGCATCCTGATAAGCCCCTGATCTCATCTTCTTCATTGTGTGAGCATCCTAAAAGGCACTATCGTATTTACTCCCCTGCGATGTCATCCTAGAGAGCATTTGCATCTTTTCCACAGGAAGTTACGTGCTTCACCGTGGACCAGCAACCTAGAGGGCCCTTTACACGATCACACTTTTCCACTTGAAGGGTAACCCAAAGGGCACTTTGTCATATTCTCTCCACCGGAAGGGCATCCTATAGGATGCTTCTTCACTTTTCAATATGAAAGGGACACCTATAGCGCACTTTTTCACATTTTCTTTTCTGGAAACATCCCTAGAGGGCACCCTCATCACAGGTTTTCTACTGAAAGGACATCTTCTATCGCAAATTGTCTCCAGTGAAGGCCACCCTGGAGGGCATTTCATTACCATTTGAGTGTTTTATATATATATATTACACCATAGCATTATCCAAAAGGGTATTTTTCATCTATTTGTTGTTTCTATCAAAAGCTCCATCCTGTCTCCATCAACAATTAAAGCCCTTAGATCCCTTTCTGTCTCCAACTACCTCTCCTCTACCTTTGTATTCCTTTTAACCTTTATCACTCAAACATACTTCGCTCTGATTACACGAGTTGAGCACACAGACGCATCGACGACGCGGCAAGGCAGGTAAAAGGGCGGCCCACTGTTAAGGGGCAGAGCCTTTAAAGGGGGCGGGAGCTCACCTGAGCATTTCATCCTAGTGCTTCATTCACAGAGGAGGCCAGCGTTGGTTGGGGGACTGATGGGGGAGGGACAGTGAGAAAGCCCATGTACTCCTTGAATGCATCATGACATGTTTTGTGAAGGTGTCTTTAAAATACTAATTTGTTTCCTTTGTTTTAAACGGACAACCACTGATTTTTGGTCACCTTTTATATGGTAAGCTTCTTAATAAGTCAATTGCAATTGATTTTCCTGCTGTGCTGAAGCATCGTGCGTTTGTTTTTTAATGTATGGATTTTAGTCATCTTATTTGCTTTGATTTGATTGATTTGTTTGAAGTGATTTTGTGACTATTTAATTTATGTTTAACATATTTACACTGACCTCCCAGATGGTGCAGTATATTGATCCATTTTCTTTGTTTTGATTGATGTGTATATTAAGTGAACACTACTAAATCTCTTTTTATTGAGACTCACATGTATAATTGAATAAATCATTTTCGGTATAGTGGTCTCTGTCACCAGTTTATTCTGTGTCTCGTGCGTAGACCATTACCAGGTCACAATGAGATAAAATCATTTGCTAAACCAAATCACCATAGTGAATAAAAACAGTTTACAGGCAAAATTACCTTTTCACCGTAACAAGATGTTCCATTAAATGACTCCTCAGCTTTCATTCAGATGAAAAGCTCAACTCTTTGTCCCTGGTCATACATAGATCATTTCAGTGTTTGACACCAGGACCTGTTGTCATTTCAATGATAAGGGCCTATTTTAATGGTACTGATTGTTCAGTGTAGTTTTTGTCGGTTCGGGAACTGGATTAAAAATGGATGCCGTGCTGCTGATGTGTGTCTTTTTGGTGCCGTGCTGCTGATTTCTCTTTTTGGTGTCCCAACAAGAGACATTATGAGAATTTATAAGAACTTCACAATGTAAAACTATGACTTTTTGTGGGCTTTATCCTGATCAAAAACTTGCCAAGTGAGGCCGTATATCCATGTGATATTTGAGGGATCTTGCATTTGGGTACAACCTCTAGAGTTAAGTCTAGCCAATGCACATGTACAGTTTCCTCTGGTCTTCAAGTTAAATAGACCACTCGACCGCCCAAATTGTTCTGCCATTTTAAATTTAGTTTGAACCACATTTTTACAAAATCCTACTACACACTGGGTCTGATTATTATTAAACTTGCGTGTTGCCTTATCGGATCACCATACATTTGT